CTGGGGGTGGGCGGGGAGGAGAGGAAGTCCCTTGGTGATTTTTCTGTTCCTCCCGCCGGGCCCCCCTGCCATTGGCAGCATGCTGGGCTGGACAGGCCTGAGGGCTGGCCTGGTGTGGCCGTTCTTGCTTTCACCGCTTGAAGCAGCGAGGCGGTCGCTGCCAGCACCCTTTGCCAAGAGCTGCCTGCTGGATTGGGTGACAACTGCCCATTTCCATGCCCTCCTGACTAACTTCTCTCTGCTCCTTCTAGGCTGACCAACTGACTGAGGAGCAGATAGCAGGTGAGTCCCAACCCGCGCATGCCCCTCGGCCCTGGCTCAAATACTGCCAGCTTGGGTCTTGCCTTTTGTAGTCTTTCCCTGAGCTTGGGCGGAGCTGGCTCTGCCATGGGCTAACCGGCCTATGCCTGGGGCAGCCAGATCACACGGCCTCTTCCCCCCTCCCCCCAGCTGCCTCTAGCCCTGTGGTTTTGACAGGGTGTGATTAGTGCGCTTGGAGTCACGGGCTTATCTTGCTGGAATCACTGACGCCTGGTGGCTTCCCCCTCGCAGAGTTCAAGGAGGCTTTCTCCCTCTTCGACAAGGATGGGGACGGCACCATCACCACCAAGGAGCTGGGGACGGTGATGAGGTCCCTGGGCCAGAACCCCACTGAAGCCGAGCTGCAGGACATGATCAACGAGGTGGACGCGGATGGTGAGCAGCCGAGGGCAGCCTGCTTGGCTGGGGCGGGTTGGCCAGGAGCAACCCCCCCACAAGGCGCTGTATGTGGCATCCCGGGCGCCCTGGCTTGTCCCGATTGGGCTCCATGGGCCTGTTCAGCCCAGCACTGGGCTCCGGTGTAGCACTTACCTCAGGGCTGGTGGCTCCAAGCCAGGCAGGGCCCATGCTGGCTGCTCGCAGCCGCTCTCAGGGACCTCAGGCACGTCGAGTGGTGCCGGTGCGAAGGCAGCCGCAGCAGAGAGGCCCAGGGGCCCGAACTCCTGCCTCACCCGCAGCCCGTCACCTGCGCTGTCCCTTGCACCGCCAGCTGCCGCCTCAGCGAATCGGTGTCCGGCCAGTCTCCTTCGCTGACCGGCGGCGATTGCTTTCCAGGGAACGGCACCATCGACTTCCCCGAGTTCCTGACCATGATGGCGAGGAAGATGAAGGATACGGACAGCGAGGAAGAGATCAGGGAGGCATTCCGGGTCTTCGATAAGGTAAGCCCCCCTCTGGAGGGGCGAGGTGGGCTGTGTCGGAGGTGATCCATCTTGCATTCGGCACTAACACCTCGCTCCATTGCCCCCGCCTGGCAGGACGGGAACGGCTACATCAGCGCGGCTGAGCTGCGCCACGTGATGACGAACCTGGGCGAGAAGCTGACCGATGAGGAGGTAGACGAGATGATTCGGGAGGCCGACATCGATGGGGACGGGCAGGTCAATTACGAAGGTGAGTCAGCGCATAGCCAGCTGCCAGGGTGGTGTGTTCACGGGAGTCCCCCAGAGCTGAGCGCCCTTGACCTGACCAGGCCATAGGTGGTATGGTCCTGCCCCCTGAAAAGTGCCCCCGGAGGCTGGTAATTCCCACACTTGTGCTAGCGGGATGTTGAGATTCTTGTAGTGCTCAGCTGCTGAGTCCCTCCTCAGAGGTGGCTGCATTTCTGCATTGGGTGAAGGTGGCAGAGACCCAGAGTGCTGGGTGCTAGTCTCAGCTCAGCCACTGGGCACTTGGCTGTTTCTCCTCATGCCTGTCTACAGACTCTCCCGGTTTGAGAGACTGGCCAAGATGGGTACCCCGCCCCTTGTGCCTATGCGACACTTCGCTCTGAGCACGGGCCCTTTGGGGATGTCAATGGGCTGGGCCCCCCATCCTGGGGAAAGGCGCAGGGGGGCTGCAATCCTGCCTCACTCCTTCTTTACCCCGTGTGTCTCTTGCAGAGTTCGTGCAGATGATGACCGCAAAGTGAAGGATCCGGGACGGGCGGCTGGCGATGCCCTTTCTCCTTCAGTACTTTTCTCCAACACTCTCTCTCTACTTAAGTAACCTGGTTCCTTCAGCAAACTCCAATCGGCTGTGGAATAAATCTGATGAAACCACAACAAATTAACTTTCCCAAACTGCATGATTGTGCCCTGTCCCCTCAGCCCCTTTCCTTCTATTCTCGTCCCCGTCCTCCCCTCGCCCAACCCCCTGGAAGTCTCAGCCTTGCAGATGTGTTTTGTTCCTGGGGGTTTTTGTTCTGCAGCCGGGGCTGGCCGGTGTCCCAGCACGCCGATTTCGCTATCCACGCGTCTGCGCGGAAAGAGCAAACTTTAACCGTGTTGCATGCGTCTGGCACTGTGGGTCTATGCATTCACCCCGCGGCCTCAGCGTCTCGCCCCTGGAAACGGCGGGGGGGCAGCAGGAAGGAAAGCCTCTTGTCTGGTCGGCGAATGATCCCAAGGCATGGTGAGAGGGGGTTGCAGAGACCTTGTCACGCCATCCGGGGAAAGACGGGGGAGGGTCTGAACAGCCTCCCCCAAAAAAACCCTTACATAGAAATTGGCTCTTGACACCTGATCCTAAAACCAGGACTAGTTTCTCCCTGATCGTAGCCCTGTACAAACTGTAAATGTCCATGCGATGATTCCTAAGCAACATCCAACGCTCAGAGCTGCTGTGTAAATACTGGTGCTAACCCATCCAGTCCCCGCCCTGCGCAAGGCATGGCTGCTTTTTGACTGGCAAGAGCTAGCGGGCGGGAGGGGATTGTCAGAGCCCTGCGGTGAGGGGCCGTTGGCCAGGTGGGCGTCACCAGCGCTGCTGTTTTTACCTTGTGACCTGCCTTTGCTTTCTTGATGTCTGTGCTCTTGTTGCAAAGCGCCCCCCCCCCCCCCCCCCCCCCCCCCCCCCCC